CATATTTATGCCTGTTTCTTAACGCCAAGCCAGCCGCTTCTTATTTTTATCACGGTTATTTCCCATTTTAATTTTACGTCGTACTGTTGCGTAATGTATATTCTGATCGTAAGCGACACAACGTCTCCCTTCAAAAGCCTAAGCGATACTAACGGTGCGACAGGAATCAAGCTCAAGACGCCGATAGTTTAGGTAATTTCTTTTTACAGTAAAAATAATGGTATTATAAAAAAAAGTAAATAACATAAGCACTTCTTTATAGTTAGTTCAGTTAGTATGCAAAGTTTCATGATCTTATTTAAAGTATTTTATGAATAACAGCGGTTTATTGTTTATTTTGGAGGTAACTTTGGATTTTTTTTCTATCGAGAAAATTTTACGAAATCGTGTTTTCGTCTAACATGATCATTAACATTAATCCTCAACTTTACCATATATTTATTTCAAAATTAATGCTGCAATATTTTCGGCATAACGAAGGATCTTGCTAAGCCATTTGACATTATATTTCCCCTTAATGCTGCAATACTTTCGGCATAACGGAGGATCTTGCTAAGTCATTTGAGGTTATATTTCCCCTTAACAACACTTGATTCGATTTGCGAAACAGCAACAGTAGAATGTTATTCTAATCCAGCACATAGGTATTAGAAGAAGAACTAAATAGAGGATTGTTCTGTGAATAATTTTATATATTTTTAAAACATATAATAAGCCAGTGCCTGCAATATATATTATATTTATTTATGCTTTATTGCTGTAACCTCAAATAAAATTGTTACAAATGGAGGACTTAATGCCTTATGGCACTGTCTCCCAGTCAACCCGGGTAGTAACAAGTTATTATTATTGTTTATTGTTTCTCAATACATACATATGTAGTCGTGCATTACAGAAATTGAGTAGTAAAATAATTACAATATGAGACTGTATTTAAACTAGACTAATTTCCCAAATTTTTCTCACAATAAATATGAAAATCTTTTGAAAAATAGGAAATAAGGCATAATCTAACAATATAATTTACCAACGTTTCAAGCGAGTTGCAGCGATAAGCTGATTAAGGCTTCTAAACCCCAATTTCTTACATAAAATGTCAGTCAGTTGGAATCTCTGGCCTCGTAGAGCGAGTAATTTCTTGGAATACTTATTTCTTGTAATATAAATCATTTCAACGCGCGCATTTCGAGAGGTTTACAATTACTAGCGACTTTAACGTTAAAACAATTTCTTTTACAATAAAGCAATGGAAAGATAATCGAGTCAATCTAATAACGAAGCAATTTATATATGAAATAAGAACTTAAATTGCTTTTAAAGTTCATACTCTCCCTTAATACACATACATATTTAAAGTATATATATGTATATACTTTAAATATGTATGTATACTAAACATTTTCTCACAAATTTATAACTATTTAAAGTATAATATTTTTTGGATTTTACTAAACCAAATTTATAGCAACATTTAAATACCTACTTACACTTAACTAACTACGCATAAAAGTACTTACCTTAAAAATATTGTAAGACCTATTCCTATTCTAAACATAGTCCTGAAGTAAAAACCTGCCCATATAGGTATATTATAATAAACCAATAATCAATTTAAATATTTCCGACGCACAATAACCCGCAAATGCTTATCCCTCGACGCAAAAATTCGTCACGGACCTAACATTATAGGTATACAGAAATGCTTGACGGCGGGTGAACGTCCCATTGAGCATACAGGGTGATTTATTTTCGTTTACCTTCAGGGTTGACGTCCGCCGCGCCTTTTAATGTGCTCGTAGTGTGGAATATTCCGCCTGCCCGCGTTTCTATTGTTAGGCTTTAATGATATTCCCTTCAATCGAAATAAAAATGTACATACTTCAAATAGCTACAACAATTTGCTAAATTCGACTCAAAAAAATTCTGGGATATTTAACAACGCGATTGTTTTATGAGTGAAACGAATTTACATGTTAAAATTAGCAATGCTATACGATTGCTAATAAGCACGTGTAAAACATTTTTCAAACAATTCAATTTCAATAATAAGCAATAAAATTTAATTATTATTCTTGCATATTAATATTGATGAAAGACAAGATACCACTTGCATGCATTACAAAATAACGGTGTCTGATAACTTCAACATGGGCATTAAAAATTACATAATGCAGACGGTTTATCTTGCGAGTCATTACGCAAGCGGCTGCACGCCTTACCTGACCTTTGTTGGCTCGTTGTGAGTATAATATACATACAGATAGCATCGCCATCTATATACAACTCTCGTACTTACCAACTTTCTTAAACAATATAACAAACGATTTTCACTTGTTAAAGTCATACAATAACTTTTTTGTTAGTTTAATATATTATTTAAATATTTTGTTGTAATTAAAACACATGCACTTTACCTTCATTTTGTTACCAAGACAATAATAACATGTTTATTATTGTAGTGGTAATAAAATGAAGGTAAAGGTTTAAAATTCAATTTTAAATTAAAAATTAAAAATTGAATCATCATCATCAATCAATCATCAAAAGACCAAAATACATATTTAGTATAAAATATATAAAATAGTAGTGTCGATGATGAACGTTTACTTTTAAATTGTGTTACTAAAATAACTTTTTCAGTATTTGGAGCATTTAAAAAAACAATACCCAAAGACATTATGTCCAATATGGTCATGTTTGCAATTTGAACATAAACTTTCCCAAGCCCAAGAAAGGTAATAAGCGTAACCGCCTCAGGTGGTACCTTGTTCTGTTCATACGGTCGACGTGTTCCCGGAACATTTATCTCAATCTCGTGGAGCCGGAGCGCCTGAGGATAAGAGTGCAACACGACTCGTCGGACCGGTGCCCCTCCCTGCCTTCCTCATTCAAACCGGTATACCTCGTCCACTCCCTAAGCTACGGATACGTACCGCTTCTAACAACATTCAAGCATATTGCTACTGATTAGCCATAAATGGGTACTGGAATTATTTTGTGGTTAATGCGATACAAACTGCTGTTTGATTAATATCGTAATAGAAACTCAGTTATACCGGAAACAAACTTGTTTTGACCTATAAGTAAATTGAGAAAGTACATGAGTTTAAACCACCACGAATGTGCTTTCGCTTCTATAACTCATAATTAGGAGTTTTAAGATGTGTCACTTAAAACTTGTAATTATAAGTAGGTACATATAAATTTTAAGAAGGACATTCAAGATAATCTGTAAGGATAAGAACTACAATTAAAAATATTGAATATCTACAAGTCTACAACACAAATATAAAGAGTTAAGCAGTTAGCCTATCCCAGATAAATGAGTAAATAACCTACAAGAGCGTAAATGTACCTACCTACTAGGTCAGAATCATGAACAAATTAACTACCTAATATTACCTACGTACAACATACAACAAATTAGAATGCGATGTTACGTAAATATAAGTAACATCGCATTCTAATGTTTTAAAATGGTATTTAAAATGAACACGAACAATGCAGTTAGCTTGAATACCAAGGTTAAATTTTATGATTTTTTTTATCATCAGACAAAATGCGAGTTGCACGAGCGCGCTCGTAAATAACGTCAGCTACAAGGAAAGATTAACATAATAGCGCATCTCGGATGCAACCGCAGATCAACGCAAATCAAGAGGCAACGATGCCGCGACCGGTTCACGAAACTTTTTTATTGACTCTCACGCTATGCTCGATAAAATTAGCAGATTAGCAATCTTCACGCTCAGTTCATTATGCTTGTGAAAAGTCAAAATAAGCACGATTTTGCTTCCGTAAACTGTAACAGAAATGCGGTTTTTGTAAAATTTGCTCAAGTAAATCGTACCGTTGTTTTCGTGCACGTTTTTGTCTAAAGTTGTCAGGTGAGATTTACTCACGCAGTGGTCCAATATGTATGCAGCGGGTGGGCGTCCGTGGGATGTAAACGCGTTTCGAGCACGCCCGCCTCTGCACTGTTACGTCTAGTGAGGCATTTAACTGCGCGTTTGGAGTGTTATTGCCTTTCATAGTAATATTTTTACATGCCATACGAATAACAACAATGTTGATCCCGCCGCAACAGCTTATGTAACTCTTTGCTTATGTAAAACTTAAGTCTACGACGGAAGATAATTAAATTAAAAAGAAAATAATAAAGTTAAAAAAACATAACTAAGATTCCAATTATGAGTGAATGTTTATAAATACCGTCTCCTCCGCTGCCGCTTTATAATATTGAACAAAGGACCCTGATGAACAAAGAAGTTAGAAAAGAACAAAAGCAAACATTGCTCCGAAAGTCAAACGAGCCGTTTCCTACCAAGGCGATGTGATAGCAATAACAATATGGCGGACGTTGCGCGTGCATTCATATGATGCGCGTGGTTGGTCATAAACCGGTCGCCCGCGAACATGTTTACGTTATCACATTTGAAACTGAATAAACAGTCTGGTCAATTAAACCACGAGGAATATATATTTCATCTATTATATTTTATACTCGTACATACACAAGTAGGAACGAGATGGTTCTCTTATCGGGGTGTGGCAATCAGCAGCTACTTTATATGCTCTGCAGGGCCTACACAGTTGCACGTTAGTGCATAATGTTCGTATATGTAATTATAGGTGTAGAGGAGGTATAAACGATCGTGCTTATGCTTTTAAGTATATGTTTAATATTTTTGAAAGCCCGTTCACACTGGCAGATTTGGATACTCTTTAGAATAGTATGCGAAGTCGAATTAGATAAAATATTCAAAATAATGTTAAACAATATTTCTAAGAAAACTCAAAGGTTCAACAAATAGACTATTTGTAAATTTAAAATCAATTACTTTTTAAAAAAAAGTATCCAATATTTCGTAAAAGGATATTTCAGTGAGCAAAAACGAGTTTTTATGGTGAAACTATTATGCGATTGTGAGCATTACTATAAATGTCAATGACCACCGTTAACCGGTATTCAACAACAATGAATCATGTAAATTAGGTACCGCTGCGACTGGCGTCCGCCTCTCCACAGTCCACAGTGGCTACAAATCACCAAAATCACTTCGCGGCGTCACGCGCAACTTTTAAAATTAGAAAAATAATGTGACATTGATGCGGTGAAAGGCAATATACCCTCCGTAAATTGTTCTGAGTAACGAGTAACAGAGCGTAGTGGTGCCGGCGCGGGAGAATGGCGCAAACTGGGCCCGGGGAAAGAGGGGCTCCGCTCGCGCCACCTGCACTCGCCCCGCGCGCCGCGCCAGCCCTGGGCCCAGTCACAACCAGCAACCAGACAAACCGGCATAATTAATTTAACTTCACACTTGCAGTTACATAGTACCTATTGCGCCGTCCGCTCACGCAAGGTCATCGCCAGTTTCATACAGTTCGAATTGATGATGCAATTGTTTTTCAATGATAAATTAAATTAGAAGAGCATAATATGATCTAGGGATGCGATGGAAAAGTATGCATATTAATAAAAAAGTACAAAGATTAACAAAATTGATAGTCAAGCAAAAAAATACGTGGCAGATTATATATTAACCTTCAAAACAAAACAAGAACAAAGTAACTAGTGATTGCCGGATTGGAAAGAGCTCTCTCGATGGGAGAGGGGGAGGGGTTGTTCGGTTACGCGGGCGCGCCAGACGAATCCCGGCATCCCGCACTTGTCGCGATCGATATCCGTATCTACGCGGGAAGTCGCATTAACTAACTCGCCTAATAGAGGTGGAAAGTCGGCCGCTGTTGTAGCAAACTTAACCGATTAAGAGTTGTTCGGGAATTTCTACTTCAAATGTACCTAGACAAGTAAAGTCTTAAACTATCGTAACAATCTTGACGTGTTATAATTAATTATTCAATAGAGTTGATGAATGCTAGTTAAATATTCTATTAAAATAACGATAAAATTCTCTGCAAAGATTTTTTGTTTGAAATTTTAAAAATATTTAAATGCGGGCGATATTTTTGTTCTCTATATTTAAATTTAATACAGATACCGAATTTCAATGCGAATGCCGACAAGTCATTAGTCATTTAGTTACATCACTTATGTTGGTTTGTTGAAAACATTAATATTATGCATCGCATGTCACTTCAGATAACGGAATAATTATAAGCTAAAAGATTTTATATACAGCTGTATATCATGATTCACATTAACTTTCTGTCATGGTGTATACTTTTGGATATTAGAAAATCAACTTGAACATATGTAATTTTTTTCTATAGGATAGGGGTGACAAACGAGCACATAGTCCACCTGATAGTAAGTGGATGCTGGGGCCCATAGACATCTACATTTGTTCTCCATTAAGATACAAAATGCAGATGCGTTGTTACCCCAGATGACTTAAATGGAATGCCTCGTGTTCAGTAAAAGGGGCCTCCGGTTCCCTACACTCACCATACGAAGCATCAGCAGCAACATTAAGCTGCTATTTTATGCTGGTATTCTGTTCTCAAAAAAACAAAACGCAGATGTGTTGTCACATTAGAGGACTAAGATTTAATGCCTCGTTTCCAGTAAAAAGGGTCGCCGGTCCTCTACATTCTCCATACAAATCCCAGCAGCATTAAGCTGCTATTTTACGCTTGTATTTTGTGAGAGCGTGATACTTCCCAGATCCAGCCGACCCATTTGTGCTACATTCACAGTACAGCCGCAAAGTGGCTCTAAATTCTAAATTTAATACAAATAGCACAAATTGAATGAAATACATTTCACGCTCTTAAGTTAGGTACCAGTCTGTAATACTTAGAATTAAGATTACCTATTGTGAAGACAGAATAAATAAAGTCAATCACTCATTCATTCACACTTCAATTATTATATTATTATTAAAAGCTAAAAGCACTAGCAATAAATTAAAAATTGTCAACATTTAGAAAACTTCGTTTGATAAATAAAACTAATTATATTGACCACGATATTAAATGTGTCAGTGTATTATCGTAATACCTTTCAAAGATTATGTGAATGCAAGAGATAATTTAATTAGATATAAGAAATATGTAAAAAGCTATGTTAATATAAGAAATGTTTGCAAGAAAAATAATCAGTCCATTTAACTTCTTAACGAATCTGTGATGCATAAGATAAACGTCGCAGTAGTGAATGTCTGCGGAAACAAGGTCCAATATCCAATTCAGTGGTAATAGGAAAATTTTCAATTGAATCCCAGTGGCGGCGAGTCGAATACTCGATGATCTTTAAATTAAATATGACAGCACACGTCAAAAATAAACACGACAACGACAAGCTGCAAGTAATGGTAGTAATTATAATTGTAAATAGTTTCCTTGATGACACGGATTCACGGGTTGAACGTAAACATTTTAACAGTACAATATAACATACAACAAGCAAAATTTTTCATTAAAATTCAAACAATTTATTATTCAGGTATTCAGTAAATACTTCCTCGAATTCTAAATAGTCATGTTTGACGAAAGAAATAACATACAAGATGTTCGTTATTTATTAGAGAAGAGAATTATGTTTGGCTTCGTTCCAAGTAAAACTGTTTCGGTGAAACATTACTCTGTAAATGTTAGGCGAGATTAACGTGTAAGATTCTAAAAATTTATAAGCCCCTTAGTCTGATATTAAAATTGCAAAAATGCCATCTATTTTGATTTATTATATTTTCATGCCTATATTTGTATTGGTATTGCAATATTTTAAAATCAATGTGAAGTTAGGAATTAATAAAATTTGATTAGGTATAAAATATTTTTTTTTAATTTTCTTTAATAAGAAGTAAATTTTATACGATCTTTCAAGTTATTTGTGCCAGTTGTCGCAGCAGTGAAAATTAAGGTAATTGCAAGTTAAATAAAATGAAAAAAAAAGCGGTACTATAATAATTTTGTTAAATTCAAGGGTAAATACTTTTTCAATCAATACACTAAAGCATTTATAATGCTGCCGTTACCGCGTCATGCTTACATTTCGCGAGATGAATTGTTTATGGGCTTCGAAAGGGGGTTCACGAACCAGACAAATTACTCGTACGATAACTCGTCCCGTCCCCTCTTGTTGAAGCACACGGGGCACAGCGTTTCGCTTAATCGCATTATTTTGCAAGATTTTTGTAGTGTTCTTTCGTTCGTAGTAGAAGGTGAATTTCTATGCGTGTTAGATCAAATTTAAGTCGTTTATGCAAATACAAATCGACGAGTAATGTTGACCCGACGCGAATCGTAAGCGGCTGAAACACACTGGCAATACTTTTTTTTTAAATTATTTATGGTAACAGAAATATGTGAGGCAACGGCTGTGGCAACACTGCTACAGCATCATGCTGAGTCGGATCGTCGGATGCCTTTTCATTGCTGCTAGTTGAGTACATTGTTATTTTTATCTTTGTATTAATATGTGTGTGGCGGCGCTGTCGTCGCGCCACAAACGAAACATACCGATGCCTAAATCGCGCTATCAAAAGTTCCGAATCTTAAACAGTATATATAGAACATCTCCGAACTATCACACGCAGTGTTGGCCGCTCCCCGGGCAGAACACCTTGACGGCGGGAGATCTCCCCTTTTCCTTTCACGGCCACAGTGGTGACCACCCGACGTGATCTGAACACGCAACCAACAACCTTCGGAAACCACAATTTTCAAGCCTTCGTCATTATCCTCAAGTACCCCTACCATTCACTACTGAGAATCGTCTTCTGCAGTCTTCAGTTCCTGCAAGCCAGTCCAACTTGTCTTCGTCTCGACTCACCGCAGATTTATAAGGCAGACTTCTGGCACTAGCTCCGGCACATCGTTCTCACCGGCATCACTTGCGAGTGCGTAGTACGGCATGCATTACACATCGGCATATTATTCGCACCGGTGTCACTTGCCCTTACGCACACAGCATGCATTCCCCACCGGCATTAAGGACGCACCGGCAATCGGACTGCACTGTCGACCTCCGGTCTGAGCAGGGGGGTGATGTGGCGGCGCTGTCGTCGCGCTACAAGCGAAACACACCGAAGCCCAAATCGCGCTATCAAAAGTTCCGAATCATAAACAGTATATATAGAACATCTCCGAATTATCACACGCAGTGTTGGCCGCTCCCCGGGCAGAACACCTTGCCCGGCGGGAGATCTCCCCTTTTCCTTTCACGGCCACATGTGTGACGAATAAATCATTCATTCATTTCAATACAGATAAAGAAAATCTGTTTTGTGACAATCCTTGGGAGGTGGCCTATGTTCAGCAGTGGACTTGTGAAGGACTATAATGAATGAATTAAAAAAAAAGAAAATTAACAAATAAGAAACAAATTAACCCATTTTACGTAATGTCAGCAATTATCTAATAGACGAAGTGTAACTACGCAAAAATATTTGTCTAATATTGTTCCATTTATTATTTACAGAAGATTGAACACTCAGTTAATGTTTCGACTAAGTAAACATTAATTCATTAATCAAAGTCATATCCACAGGCTATCAAAAGTCCACTGTCACAGACCTCAACTAAGAATTTTGACCAACTATAGATGGTCTGATTTGTTTACTTGTAATCAGGAAGATGCTGCCGCTAGTCACCTGTTTCATTTCATTCCTACACCTCTTACGAAACATACTAGCAAAATATGTGATAGTGGACCATCACTAGTCAGACATACAATGCATACACGGTCTAAGTAAACAAAAGTGGTATACCTAATAAAAATATTATTATACTGCAAAATACACTTTTCCAATTTTCACTCGGATCGGGATCATTAAGGTCGTAGTCGACGGTGCATGCTCCGACTCCAAGCCTGTGAATGCTGGTTTCACAAGGCTGCTATCGCCTACCCTGTTCCTTCTGCATATCAACAACATGTTACATACCAGTAACAGTACCTGGTTGACCGAGCTTTGCTCGGTATTTTTCGCTCGATTTTTTTTTATTCGTGTGATTTGGAAATTATATTTAGATACAAATTACATACTGATGAAATACAAATACTTAATATTTTTTGATCTTAGCGACATAACAGAAAAAACGGAACTGGTTATTTGAATAAAAAATCATGAGAGCA